CAAATGTCTTGCATATTCTTACTAAATATCAGAAATCTTCAACACAATTTTACTGAAAGATACATATCTTTCTCTTTCACTCTCTCTACATATACATATACTCCTACCATTTGTAACTAGGAATTAAAAATGTTGCTTTGTCATAGGGAAAAGGAACTGGTGTTGGAACTTACACTTATTTTTGTGCTACTATCTCAAAGTAGAAAGTGAATATTAGCACTCTCGCTCCACTTGTACTCCAGATGGGGAAGAGGCAAAGCAAAGATGGACTCATCCAGAGGTGTCTGCAGGATGTGGTCAAAAAAGTTAACATGGCTTCCCCCTTTTTTATCTTTTTTTACACCATGCCCAGTAGATATCCTTAGGGCCATCATTCCAAGCCTATTGGATTGGACAGAAGTGCCAGAGCAGCTACGTTGGGTATGTCTCAAGCTTTGGATGACACTTGGTAGGCATTTGGAAGGACCTGAGCTGAATGTTAGACTTTTTTTAAAATATAAAAAGTAGGATTGCTCCTTTCGTAGCTGTTTGGTGCTGGTATTAGAATTGTAGTGAATTAAGTTTACTCACTCAGTCAGTGGGGAACACTGCAAAATTCCTGGGATTGCAGCCTATTTCTCCCTGTGCCCACTAGCTAAATAGTGGTAGTCACACTGGTTGCAGACCAGATAGGATAGCCCTATCATGGACCTCTCTACAATCTGTTTTTCCTTCCATATTTATCTTAAATATGTAGATAGGGAAACTATTAGCAGACACTCAAAAAGAGTTGCTGAGGAAATGATCTAAATAAAGTGCACCCCAGTTTTACTGACAAAGTGAGAAATAAAATTTGTCAGTAAAACATAAATTTAACAAAAAATAGTTTGTCGCGAAAGTGACTGCCTGCGAAGGCCCTGGATTGGGTTTGGGGCTGAAAGGCGAAAACAGAAGCCATATGCTCCATCCCATTATTGGGTAAACCAGGTTGCCCTGATAAACCAGTCCCACCAGAGAAAAAACACTTTATTTAGTGAATTGGTTTTGTAGCTTTTTCATTCTCATTTGTTCTTGTTATTTATTAGATGTGTAGCCTGCCATTTATACAGCAGTTCAAGATGGATACATCTTGAGGGAGGTATAGCACTAGCATTCATTCCCCCCACCCTTTACAGCAACAATCCCATGAAGCCAGTTGGGCTAAGAGACAGTGATGGTTCTAAGTCACCCAGGAAGCATCAGTGGTTGAAGGTAGAGTACAGCCTCGGTCTCTTTGTTTCCAGCCCAACTTCTTAAGCCCATGGGCCACACTGGCTATCTTATTTATGTGGAGAATAAATCACCTTATTGAACTTATTATGTTCTGTTACATTATTATAAACACAATATAATAATGTAGCTATTATAATTACATTATAATAATTGGTCCTCCAAATTCATAGGAATTTCTTAAACTGACATTTCCTTAAATAATTCTTCCATATATTATCCATCATTGACTATGTATACATTTCTTATTTATTTATTTATGAATTAATATTTAAATTAAAACATTTAAGTTAACAAGATATATTTAGTACCAAATTGTTAAAGGAAATGCCATTACCAAAGACATTTTAGCCTTTTGCAGGAAAACAGTAATAGTTTGGCCACTTTTTAAAAAATTAAATAGAAGAAAAAGAAAAAAAGAAAAGATATGTTTGGCAGACAGCTAAGATGGTGAGCAAAAATTCTTTAAATAATGAATATCAGCTATTAAGACTGTACGACTTATTCTACGATGCATGCTTTAAATGTCAAGGGATGTAGGACGAATCAGGCTGAATTAGCAAGACTCCTTTTTGGAATAAAAAATCAAAGTAACCTGATTTTTAAACATTTTTAAAAAATCCACTGAAGAATGAATTTGCACAGCTGGTCTATAGTTCAGTAATGTAATTGGTTTGAAAAAGCAAGTGTAGAGTTTTAAATGACATAATAGCTTAATAGCTAATATCCATTTACAAGAGAATAAGCATAACTGAAATAGAGTGAAGTTCTAGGGTAGTGATAGATGACATTTATAGGGAGAAATGGTCGAACAAATTGCGACTTATTTTAAGGTTAATTCTGAAAGATATGTCTTTCGGATGATTTGTTTATAAAAATGCAGGACATCCATGTGTCCAATTATTCAAACCTAGAGATGTTTCAATATTTTTTCCAGTTCTCAACTGACAGGGACACTTATGAAAAAGTTCTGAAAACAAACCTATCAAATCTTGAATGCAGGGAAATTTGCATTCAATATTATTGCATTCACAAAAATAAGAATTTAAGGAAATAATGGAAGATAAACTTTTCATTCATGAGAAACTGCCCAATTTGGATTAACGCATGACAGAAAGCTATCTCTATCCTCCAAACTGAATTTATATTTGGAACTATTATTGAAAGGTATTAAATGTAATCTAGAGATAGTGATTAGATTATGAACGGCTTTTGATGTTGTTGCTTCAAAAATTATATCACATATACAGATCTTTTTTTTTTTAGAAGAAATATTGAAATGTAGATATGGGGTTGCCATATCATAGGCTATAATGGAGCGTTGCCTAAACTAAATTATTTTCAAGTCTAAGTAAGACAAGCAACAATAATTAAAACAGGTTTCTTTCCAGTCAAGATTCCCCTCTTCCCACTTTCGTACTATATAAAAGTTAAATTAAAATAAAACAGGGATTAAAAAGAAATGGGTACATGTCAAAACAAAAGTTATAGCTTATCAGGGGTTGCCATTGTTCAAATCAGTTACATTTTTATTGCATAGCCTTATTGAAAAATAGCAGTAATGAGAGATTTTATTTATTATTGTCTTTTATGCGAAAGTGACAAATATAAGATTTCTGAACCATAAGAAGGCGGCAAGGAATGATTTGATTGATTTCTGGTGATTACGGGTAGAGAAATGCTATGGAGTAAGACAGTCTGCACTGGAAGAATGACTACTTTGAAGATGTCAGCCAGGACAGGAAAATGGAATGGAAAACAGGAAAGGTTGGAATCCCCTGGACCAAACCATCAGAAACTACGCATATACACAAAGTGAGGCTGTGTTATCTAAAGATTTGGATGCTTTTGAATAGATATAGGAAACAATCCAATTTATATGCTATCTGTTACCCTTAATTCAGAATTTGCTAAATATGAATAACCTGCAACCCTTGCCTGTCACGGCTAGGTATGATAAGATTTAAAATTCATAATATAAATGCTGGTTTGAAGAAGAACTTAGAAGCAACGCCTTTCACTAATCATGGGAGAACAATTTGTTTATTGAAAGGGTTTTTGGAGCTGTTTTTATTACTTCGTGAAAAGCAAAAATACTGCTTCAGTCATCTCTTTTCAAACCTAGCTATAAAGATTTCTGAAGATGTGGACAATCCACTGTTTTATAATCCTGACAACAGCAAGATCATTCTCTTAGAAAACTTAGAAATTAATTGTAGTATTAATATAACAGCTTTGGATCCAGATAAAACCAAAAGGAACTTTACTTCCAGACTGCTGCTTTTCTGATTTTATTCCCTTACTTGCTATTAACCCACAGAGATGCATTTTTAAGGGTTGATGGATCCCCTGGAATGACAACAGATATGAAACATGGGAAATTGCAGTAGATTGAGGAAATCAAAGAAATTCAGCAAGGCTGCTTTTCCACTTATACAGAACACATCTCATCTTAAGCACCTCTCAGGGAAAAATGAATTAAAAGGAGAAAACAAGAACAACAACAAAATGTATTCGATTCCTGTGCTTTTAGTATTGTTTCAAGGAGCTGTGGTATCAAAAGGCTAGGACATGGTTGCTCTTTTGCCCCATAGTGGCAGCAAAAATAATATATGCAAATAATTCAAAAGAAAAGAGACTGAAGCAAGAGGGCAATTCAACAAACATTGGGACTTACTGAATAAAACTATTTGACACATTCATAAAGATATGGCAACCCAATAAAAATAGATCTGAAGAAGAATAGAGATTTCTGAATTCAAAGGTTTTATCTTCCCCGTCTTCTATTTCTTATAAGGGGTGAAGACGCTATTGCTTATGGTGAATTTATTCTTGGTGATATGGATATTTGGAATTTCTACCTAATGATCACGAACAAAATTTATGTTCAAAATGTTAAATGTTTAAAAGATTTTGAATGATGGATTAATACTGGTTACGTGCTGATCTGTTATAACTTTTATGTATCTCAAATTATATACATACATATATATGTTTACATTTTAATTTAATAAAAAAATAAAAAAATGAGATAAGTACTTATTAAAGGAGGAATGTACCTTTAAAGCAGAATATTGGTGAGGCCATGGAGGCGCTCTTCCAATTACACTCAATTAAAGACCTCTTATTTCTACATTTTCTTGTTGTTCCATTTTGAAATCTTTTCCAAGGAGAGTGCCCACTACAAAATAAATCATATTACTTCAGGTCTGCTGCATGTTATCTTTAAAACTGAGAAAACAAAAGGAATAAATAAACTTAAAAAGAGAAAAATATTCAGGGAAACACTGGAAGATTATTTCAGTTTTGAAAATTAGATAGTAAAAGGTTGATGATCTCTTGATACATCGGATCAAGATGACTTGAAAAGAGGGGGGCAGGGAAATCCCCAGTAAAACTGCTCATATATATGATAAGCATGAAGGGCAAAGGTTCCCAAGGAGCAGTGTATGGGATCTACAAATATGCCCATAACAGAGTCATATAGTTTGATAAACCTGTTAGAGTCAATACTGACAAGTTTGGGCAATGTACAGTTGTCTTGCATAGAGAATCTCCTTCTGGAAGAGGTTGAAACTGATGGTGAGCAACTGGATTTGCTTACAAAGGGTAGGGAGGAATTTGTGTTAGAAATGAAGGATTCCTTATTTTGAGTGTAGCAGGGAAAGGGAATAATCATTTTTTGAATCCATTGATAGTGAAAAGATAAATTATGTCCTGGGGGAAATGACTCCAGTTCCTTTTGCTCTCTCTGCATTATTCCAAAACATTCTAAAATAGTCTTTTAATTCTTTCCATAGAAATTACTTGTGGTATGTTTCCTCCCCATCCTTAAGGTTTACTTTGATCACCACTGTTGTAAGTGCAGATCCATAGTGCCGTTCAAGTTGAGATCAGTAACATCTAAGAAATCGATGTTGAAGATGCTGGGCCCTGTAGTGGTCAGGGAACCAAAACCATTGGCTGAGCTTGGTGGTGTGAGGTCCAGCCATTCCATTGTTTCCCAGGGAGACTCTGTGAAGCTCATGTGCAAACCAGTTCCTTCACCAGATGAGGGAGACAACTGAGTCTCCATGGGCGAGAGGGGAGTTGGCAGGATCTCATGGGGTGAGACTAATTCATCGGCAGCCTTGCTAGAAAATCCTTCCATTGCTCCATCAAAGTGAGGTTCCTCGGTACCCAATTTCAGAAGGGTGACTTCACTTGACCGCCCAAGAGGACTGTGGGAATTTAACAAGATTTCCAAATGACTGTCATTGCTCGAGCAGCGTTCAAAGGGGAGCTGATTTGAGGTGTTTTGCTCAAATGCAGTGGATGCCTTTAGTAACAAGGGTGTTCCAGAAGTTCCTGAAGACACTGTTATCTGAGGTACCTTCTGAAGACAAGGGCGGTCCTCTTTAGCATTTGCAGGCATTTCTGTTTGCAAACCAAATATGATAAGTCAAGAGCAAAACCTCTTTGGGTCTACTTCCAATGTTAAGTGAACACCCTTCTGCTTGTGCAATAGGACTTCCCAACAGCATCTGCCATTGCAATGACACATTCCAACCTTTTGTTCTGGCTGAATAAAATCTTACTTGATGCTATACTAGCTCAAAGAGGTACAAAAGGGATGGTGAGAGGAACATGGAGATCATATAAAATGCCTGCAATTGAAAGTAGTGATGAAGCTGTGTTAATATAAGACAAAGTTGTTATAAGTGGTGTTTATAATGCCTGCCTAGAATCAACGAAAAAGCTGATGTAAAGAATTATTAGAATAAGGACTGATCATACAGATATGTGCACACATGCTCGAGCATGCAAAGGGTAAGAAATTGTTAAAACATTTAAATTAGGCATGAAGGCATTAAAGTTGTGTACGTGATTCACTGGAGCAGACAGAAGCTAGTGAGGAAAAACATTTACAAAGGTTTGATTGTGGAGTCTAGTATTTTGTGGTTCTCTCCCAAAATGCCTGAGGCTGATAGAGAGGCTTACACATTCACATCATAAAGTGCTCACAACAGAAGGCAAACAGAAGGAAATGCTTCCAGTGTTCCTCACAGAATGTTCCCATCCACAATGCATTGCCTCTTTTGGTGCTGTGTTTTCCTTTGGGGGCATACTTTGAAGCAAAGCAGTGAGCAGCAGCCACCCACTGGTTATTTAAAAAAAATAATTCTATAGGTCTATATAAAAAATTCTACCAAAAGAAATCTGCACAGTATGCCCACTTCTTTCAGGTTTTTTAAAATAATTCTTTTGAAAAATCAGGTATTCTAGAATAGGGAGCCTGTTGTGCACCAAAGGAAGAACCAGAAGACACATGGAAGCTTCCAGAATTGCTTCTTTCTTCTTAATCACTTCATATAAATGTAGCAAAACTTTCTATAATGGTCAATGGCTATTCTAGTAGGCAGATCCTGGGAGTGCTTAGATTGAATGCTGCTTAGGATAATTAATTAGGCAACAGCTATTTACATATTTCTTCAGGAAGTGGATGGAATCCATGATGGATTTCAGCCCTCTCCATACCTGATAAGTACAGAATAGCTGCTGTGGGTAGCCTGAGGTTTATATCCTTTATATTGCTAGGTTAGAACCAAAAGCCTCATTCTACTGGCATCACCTACCTCCAGTTTCAATAAGCACATCTAATAGTTCATCCATCTGCTGACTTTGAGTCATTTGCTGCAGCAAGAAAAGAAGAAGAAATGTGGAAGTGAGGAAATGGATTACATATTTTTATTGTAAAAGAAATCACTCTTAAGGGATTGAGATATCATAGTTCTGTAGTGTTTTTGCTGGCATTAAAAACCTGACATAACAAGCTAATTCCCCACAACTATCAGCAGTTTTTAGTGCACAGAATGCACAGATGAGTAATCTGTGACTCCCAAGGTTGCAGGTGGTTTCCTGTGTCCCCTTTTGCTGGTCTTGGAGACAGAGCTGACCATAACTGCTAAAAACTAGCAGTATCCTTTTGACTTGGGACCACATGAACAATGTAATGTGAAACTGAAAGGGTTTAAAAATGAGAAACACCAGGGAACCATTTTGTACGACTTGGTCTCACTTGTCCTTCAACCCTCAGCCAACTCTATGAATGTTAAAATGTTAATAATAGTTTTGCCCATGTGACCCGGGGTTAATATGCTCTAAGATGTATTATTTAATGCTCCACTTTTTCAAATATTAAACAAGAATGAAAACCCCCTACCTGGATTCCCTAAGATATTCAACCTCATCCTTTTCATATTTACTAAGAAATAATTCCAGCAGATTTACAGTTCTTACTTGTTTGGGTTGTAACCTCTCTGCAAGAGAGGGAGGGGGGAAGGAAGGAAGGAAGGAGTCTAGATGACTCAAGTGAATGCAATCCAGGGCTACTTCACCTCTGTTAAAAAAAAGTTGGCTTAATTCCTTGGTTTGTATTTTATTTTAATTCTGTAAATTGCAATGTCACACTATGACAAGCTGGATCCAGACCAACTAGATAACTAGATACCAGCATTACCATAGAGCTGGGGTTTGGAAGCTAGATGAAATAAGAAGCCTTGAAGAACTGAAAAGGAATGGCTCCAATTGTCTGTACTTAATTGACCAAATAAATTAAAGTTAATAATCCTGCAACTCCAGAGGAAGAATCACTTTTCCTTTAGTAAATTCACTGCTAGCCCAGACTCAATGCTCAACGTGAGCATGTGTCTCAGATTTTCAGGTTTGTCATTATTTGATCCCCCCGCCCTCTGCCTGGGCCACATAATCAGATACTTTTAACCTGGGATTTGTGGATTCTTTCCTGCTCAGTCCATGGTTAGATTTCCTCTGAATTGGAAAATATTACAATTTTATTTTTACTAGCTTCTACGTTGACAACAAAGAAATCTATGACTTCTAGACTGCAATAAAATTTCTTGACTTCAAGAAATCTCACTAGTTAAAAGTATTAAAACTAAAAAAGAGTATTGTGTTATTAATTTAATGGATTAATAAAAACATATTTCTGAATTACATATTTAATAATTTGATAGCTGTATTTGAGCACAGTTGATTTCCTTTATATTACACAGTAAATCCATGTATTTGTTTTATGCATTCAAAATAAAAGGACTCCTTTATTTAAGGATCAGACTCTTAAAAAGGTTACGAATCCTTGCAACAGATTGTGTTTTGTGATGAAACGGTACAATACTAATAACTACCTGTAGCCAAGCACAGTCCTAAAATACCATCCCGGACAGTGGTGGGTTGCCCCCAGTTCGCACCGGTTCTATAGAACCGGTAGTAAAACCGGTGGGAGGCTCCAGCCACAGACCCCAACATCATCAAAACGCTTCTGTGCATGTGTGCAAACGAAGCAAGCGCGTGCGCGCGGCCCTGCTACAAACCAGTAGTAAAGGTAAGTAGACCCCACCCCTGATTCCAGACCATTACCTGTTTTACAGCATCAGCATAAGGTGGAGGCTGTTTTCCCTCTGGGAGAGCAGCACTGGATTTACAAAAGCTGGCAGAGAGAACGGAATACTTTGGGCCTGCTTGTGTCGGCACCTACATGGAAGCAAAATCAACGGTAGGAATCCAATCGAATCTCTGTTCCTTGGCAGCTGCATCTGAAGTCCCCTAAGCTAAAACTTCTTACATATTGGTGTCAATCATAGCTTAATGCAACCTCAAGGAAAGAAAAAAAAATGAACCCAGATCTTTGCCAAAAATATTTTTTACACGCTGATACAATCTTACTGAAGTGATGCAAAGGAAACTTTGTTTAGTTTTCACCCTTACGTAACCCATAAAGCCAACTCCATTTCCAAATGATCCAAGGAAGGCATTCAATAATGGAGGTTCTATTCGGTGCTGAAACAATGCCTGGAACCCATCTCACCAGTTTAAAAATATCTGCACTAACTCCCAATTTATTTTCAGACTGAACTCAAAGTGTCATGTTTATATTTTAAAGCCCCAAACAACCTGGGATCTGCCTATTTTGAGAGATTTTGTAAACAGTTGTCCAAGTATTATAAGTATATCTAAGCAGCTGTTTCTTTACATCTAACGTCACTGGAAATAGTGATGGTGGTTATGGTTCCCTGACTTTTCCCCCAGAAATACTTCCTTTTAAAATATGACTCTTATTACTGGATTGCTTGTACTGACTATTTTAAGGCCGATGAGTAAATTGCAAGAGCAAAATATGTGTATTTTCTTACCAGAGTTGTGCACAAATGGCGGCTGGGTTGTGGAGAACTGCTGCGTCCTTCTCCCTGATGGCTAGGAGACATGGAGAGAAGGTAATGGCTGTTTGGTGAGGGCGGAAGGCTAATATGTTGAGGACTCTTTGCTGCCTCTAGTGGAGAATGCTGAGGAGAGCACTGTGGGCTTAGGAATGTGGAGGACAGTATGCCATTTTGTCCGGAAGGTTCCATACAATGGCTATTTACAAGATGAGGCATCTGAGGTGTCCCACAGTTACTTAATGCCTCAGAATTGCTAGCTTTACCTTTCAAGGCAGCTTGCTTAGAGGCAAATGGGCAGCTGGACACTGCATTCTCCTGCTTGACTGGAAAACCAAATACATGTGCTGGGGGCTGCTTATCTTCCAGTCCATGGCTTCTTTTGCGCTTCTGGAGCTGCATTCTCAACTCTTCCACTTGCCTCTGCTCCTGTTGCAATTTCCAAGTCAGCTCATTGATTACTTTTTGCTTTTCCACTAACATTTTGTCTTTCTCTGTGTCAACCCTTTCAACATCATGCTGGATGCCAGCTCCGTTGATGCTTCCCACCAGGTTTTCCTCACAACCACCTTGCACAGGTGAAGGGTGCAAGACAAACTGTGGGGAAGACATTGGTCCTTCATTGAAACTGTCTGGCAAGGAGCCACTCACTGAAAGGTCAGAGGAAGCTGGAGAGATGGGTGGAGTGGAACTAGTGCTGCCAAAGTGGTAAAAGCCATTGGATAACAGACTGGTAGAAGACTGCGATGGATAACTGGAGAGAGAGCTTGTTGGGGTTACTGGGAAAGTAACAGTGGTTATTTCATTGAAAGAAGCCACTGAATTCCCACTGCACTCTTGAAAAGGTCTAAGACGTTCCATCAAGGCTGTTTTTGTACCTGACACAGGAAGTCCCCTTATTCGGAGTTGCTGTCTTAATTCTGACACCTGTAATAAAATGGCTTCATTAGTATCAACCACAGTTTTTACTTTATTGCATGTTTACTGTTGAAAAAGAAACTTCTTTTAATCAAACTGTTTTAGCCAAACAAAAGCTAAATCTAGAATCATTTGTGCTGACATAGAGATTTTATTATTATCTAGCCTTCAGAGAAACTCCTATTAACTGTTAACTCTAAACTGGGGTACCTTGTACAACATTGTCATTTCTAACAGATTTCTATAACCCTGGGATTATTTGGAATAATTAAATTATACTGTACAGTAATGAATTTGAATTAAGAATGAGTGCCTTTGTCTTACAGATATTTTTTTTTTAAATTTGATTTATATGCCGCCCTTCTCCGGAGACTCAGGGCAGCTTACAATGCATTAAGCAATAGCCTTCATACTTTTGTATATTTATACAAAGTCAGCTTATTGCCCCCAGAAACTGGGTCCTCAATTTACCTACCTTAGAAAGGATGGAAGGCTGAGTCAACCTTGAGCCTGGTGAGATTCGAATTTACAGTAATTGCAGACAGCTGATGTTAATCACAATGCTATCAGTCTGCTGAGCCACTAGGCCCTTTGTGTCTAAATATTTGTCTAAATTCAGCCTATGTTATTATTCACATATGTCAGGATGATTCTAATGCAGTTTCCAGATATACATCAACCAATTTATGTAAAAGAAAAGCAGAATGTAGATCAAAGAAGTCATGTCAAGGTGGTTTAGCTGAGGTAACCAGAATTCCGATAAGTTGCCTCAGAATTCAGATAAGTTCATTGACTCTAAGACTGTGCAAAGATCCAGAGTCAAAATCAGGTGTACTTTTTCCAGGAGTCACATATAAGCCCAAGAAAAGATATGGTACCTTTAAGTAGTTGCTTACATGTGACCAGAAGGTGATTTGACATATGTACTGTATGCCAAACCACCTTTTCTTCTTCAAATCCACTGTCAAGGTTCCAAGTAACAGACCCAATGCAATCAAAACTCTGGAGGCCAAGGCATTCCTCAAAGCCCAAATTTATTAGGCATGTCATATTGGCACACCTGGTGAAAACCCAACTCTGAAGGTCCCAGGGTTTTCCCCACCCAAATTAATTTCAAAGTTCCTTCCCCCAGTCCACATGTACATCACATGGTCCAACCAGGTCACAGTCCCCACTCCAGTTGGGTTCAGTCCACGTTTCCCCAGCACCTGGTGGGAACGTCCTTGATTCCCAGGAGAAAGAATTTTTATTTTGGCTACAAGTCCCCAGCTATCTCTACTTCCCCCTGCCATTCCCACAGCTCCAACCAGTCTTGTTGTGGCAGCCCTGAAGACCCTCCAAAATGGCTTCAGGGTTGACATCCACATCATTGTATGGCAGGGGTGAGCAACTGTGGCCCTTTTACAACCTGTGGACTTCAACTCCCAGAATTCCTGAGACAGCCAAGCTGGCTCAGGAATTCTGGGAATTGAAGTCCACAGGTTGTAAAAGGGCCACAGTTTCCCACACCTGTTGTATGGTCTTAATTGTCATCCATCTTAGATTACACACAAAATCACAATTTGCCAAATACTGCATGTTAAAGTACTGTAATTTTAATTTTGAAAATAATGGAAGTTTTAATTAAGTGTTGCACTACTTAGGAAAACTTTTTCATGTTGGTTAAATTGCTTGGGTTAGCAAACAACACACTTGCAAGACAGGTTACATAAAGCATCGAGCTGTAAGTGATCTTCATCCAATGTAAAGTAATGTGTAGTGTGTGGCAGTTAAGGGGCCTCAATTCAGCTGTCTCCCTTTTCCAAGAGCCTCAGAAGGTAATCTCATTGGAGTGACAGTGAATATGTTTGTCCCTCTTTTGGGGATTTTTAGGATGGGAAAAAGCCACTGAGAACAATCAAAACAATCCTAATTCCACTTTAAACATATAATGTACACCACAATCACTCAAAACCTGCATCTGAAGGTTTGAAGGGTAAGAAGGAAATGGGCTAGTTTTCAGAAGCTTCCAGTCCCCACTTCAGGATGGGGGGAATCCCCCTGAAGGACTGAAATTGACTCCCAATACGATAATTTTGGAAATTGCCTTTGGAGTAGGAAGAGCCTTTCTAACACAAAAATGAAGGCAAATATATGTGTCCCAGGATAATGTTGCAGGATCCAATTTGGGTTGGTCACCAGGACCAAAGGTCTTTTAACCTTTCTAATACCTTTTTTTAAAAAAAAGACTCTTACTGCCATTTTGCCCCATATCAGCAAAATATACTTGGGTATGTATTGGGGTGAGGGTGTGGTGCAGATGCTGTGGTTTAGCAATCTGGTATATACAGTAAGTTGCAGTTTCTGGTTTAGCCTTTGGCAAATGAGGGCCATTGCAACTGATTCAATAAACCATAATTAAACCTTCTATAACTTGCCGTGTCTTCTAACATTATTGCACCATACTCTGCGCATAATACTCACTTTGAGGTCATCCAGATTGGATGGGAGAGGACCTGGTTTGAGGGATGAAATGCAAGATGGCCCAGAAAAGGTTCCCTTCACTGGAGAAAGAGGATTATTGGTGATTGTCGTAGGGGAAGAGCCTGAGATTTTAGGCTCATTTGGTTGTCTAAAAAACAGAAGCAACATTTGTTACTGTGATTTCTTCTTTTGTTTCTAAATCAATGTCAATTGTCAATGTATCAGTTTTGATCCTAGTTTTATTATGCATTCACTATCATTTTAATCCTGAGATTTCAGTACAAAATAGTAGTATTTTAGCAGAATTTCAAACAGAGATACTTTGGCCCAGTACAGGCTTGTAGTGCTCTCCTTAAAAGGTTTATTTCAAGGTCTCCAAATTAGAGAAGAATTCCTAGTTTAGCTGCTCAAGTCCTAAGCCCCAAACTCTTCTCATTTTCTGTAGCAAGGGCACCCAAACCTACTGGATATATATTGATCCTTCATTCCCAGTGTGCAAGCCCCACACCCAGCGGACATAGTAGGAATATTTGAAACATGGAAGTATAGTATTTAAAGGATGCTAATCAGCCACACCATCAAATGGTGGCATAGCTTCCACATGGTCCCTCAGAAATGGTTACACATAGTCCCTCAGAAAGACAGAAAAACATTTCCACCAGCAACTCACTTTAGCTGAGAGGAATGTGACCCAGGGTAATTGAACTGCTGCTGGTGTCGATGCTGCTGTTGCTGGCTAAGGATCTGGAGCTGCAGGAAGAGCTGCTGTTGTTGCAGTAGCCTGGCGTAGGCAGAGTCCATGGGAGGAGGAGACTTCTCTGCCTTCTGGTCTGGTGGAATGTATTGGTGATACTTTAGCTTCTTCACTTTGGGCTTCATCTCCTTAGGTTTTTTGTGGCGATTCTTGCCATCACTTGAAGATTTTGACTGTGTGTTCTGCACAAAAAAAAAGTATCAGGAAGGTCAGTTGAAACCCAGAGCTTTTGAATGGCCTATCTAATTAACCCATTTCTTGCTAAATCTGAATTTTCTGGAGGACTACCCCTGATATTCAGTACCCTCAAAAGCCTTTGAGCTTCAAAATGATGGGTGAGAAATATAAGAGAAACCTGATTCACTCTTCCTCCTTTTATATGCAGTTCAGCGCATAAAACAACTGGCATCATGTTCACATAGTACTAGGTGCACGTTCCTTTCAAATATTCTGATTTTCCACCTGCTGCCATTTAAGAAGACATGAAAAATAATTCAAAATGGCAAAGGACCCTTGCATTTTAGTGCAGATATTTAGTATAATATTTAAAAATCAAAGTATCCTTAAATAGCTAAATTTGAACTTCCTAACTTAAATCTGCCTGCTTCATAAATGACAGCAGGGCAAAAAAGATGCATCTATATAACACTAACTACCATCCCTGCCTTTCTGATTAATTGCTCCACTTAATTAATTATGCAAAATTACCTTAGCAGTCATATTTGTGGGCTGTAATTTCAGAAATATTCCAGTTACTTTTAAAACCAGCATTTATCTTTCAGAGCAACCATGGTTATGCTCTAGTTGGTCAACACTTGTCTCTTTTTGTCTAAATTATGAAAGATACTAACATACCTTCACAGATGTAGGAATAGGAATAGGAGGTGTCTGCGGCCCATTGAGCTGTTTTGGACTTTCTGGCTGACTATTTTGCAGAGATGACGAATCAGTCATATCATTTTCAGAACTATGGGAATGGCCCTGAAACAAAAAAACAAACAAACATTGAAAATACTTGTGACAATTATGCCATTAATGTAGATAGTTTCATGAAGATTGGTGCAGGCAGGCAATTTATGAAGTGAGCTACACTAGTTGGATTGACAGCTGGTTACCTTGTCTTTGTTCCATTTTTTAAAATTGTAGTAAGGGCTGAATCTATATATTAGCTTATGGGACATATTAAAATACAGAATAAAACATAATACATGACACAATAGAACCATATATAAAAGTAGAATACGAGAAACAGGTTAAATAAAAAGGATAAACTAAGGAATAAAGTATTAGGTTATTGAATCATCTCTACAATTTACCCCAATCAGACCCACGTATGTAGATCCCAACTAAACTGTTTTATTCAGATAAAGGGTTGTGTTGTATGTGATTTTTGAGTTCTGACCGCATATGAGATATGTAGTTCTAATATGAGGATCCCAATAATTTGTTTGTCTGATATGTGGTTCAAGACGCCAGTCTCTCTCTTTCTTATATAGTTGACACTCAAATAATATGTGTGCTATATCTTCGATAGCTGGAGTTCTGCAAATACAAATATGTTCACTGTAAGGGACTTGATTAAACAGTCTGTGTTTAACCATTGTACCTCGCAGTTCGAATCTGATATGTGTAGCTGAATCTATATATTATCTTACCTCCTTGAGGGATACTTTTATTTGGTAATTCTCCATGCAGCATATCACATGGATTATGTATCAGTTTAGAAACTCTCTGTACAATTAGGAAAATCCTTATGATGAGTCACAATAAAAGCAGTCTTGCATCAAAATTAAGCAATAAGTAGAGCGGTCTGAAGCTTAGGCAGATATGCATGACAACCTGTGAGAGTGATGAGGTATACTGTGGAAGTCTGATAATCTTTTAGCTTGCATACGGTTAAGTAAATCCATGCCGCCAAATGATTCACATATACAAGTGTACGAACAAACAACATTTTTGGGATTTTCACCATAATCCATACCTTTTGCAGATGACTTTGGATGGCCTGTTAAACTATTCCTATAAGTAATATGTGTACTAAGACCAATCACATTTATCAGGCTGGTGTTATTAGGAAACCAAATGGAAGATCATTGGGCTCCCTGCCATAAGTGCTTGGAAAATGGAGATGCCCCATGCCAAGTACACTGTGTAACAAAGCTGTTGGAATGAAGAAGAGCAGCACTAGCCAAGAATATGTCGTGTTCAGGTTAACAGTGGCTTGGGATCCTTTGCAGGACACCCCCATATTTTATGTAACCACTGAAGACTGACCTTACGGATGACTTCCTGCACAGGCTATAGTGCCCTTAGAGAATTTTGACATGTACTGCACCTTTACACCCATGCCTTGATTGTATTTGCCTGAGAAAGGACAAATTATTCCTCTTCTGAGGATTAGAATCAAATAGCTAATTATAAATGCTATTTTAGAATGAAGGCAAATTACGAAAATATATAACAATGGGGCTGATGAGAAATATCCTTACTATATTGGTTGTAAGGTATCTTTTCTTCCCAAACCAGATTTAAGAGTACTGATGGGAACAATGCATAGCTACACAGATATTAGCTATGCACTGTCCCAAAGGAAGATTTCCTTTGTGTTAAACTCTACTCTTGGTGACTTCATGGACGTTTCTGTGTGATTTTCCTAGCAGCAATATGGAAATGCTTTGCCATTGCCTTTTCCCAGGATGTTTTTCCATTTCCTAGTCATCAACATTCTTCACATCCCCAGATAGAATCCCATCTGAATATTAACCAATATTATTAGCTTTTTGAGATCATCCAAGACTGCCAACAAAGGCCATCAGCTATAGAGTAATTTGAGATGACAGGCCAGTAATTCAGCAAAATGGGCAAAACAACTCATGTAAGAAGTAATACGTTATGCAATCTAATTAATCCTCTCAACGAGATAGTAAATTGAATGGGATTTTGTTCTTTTACTATGAGCAAGACAAATTCCAAACTGTGATGTGATTGAACATAATATTCACAAGTGTCTGCAATCTAACCTGCAGTAGGTGATTAAAATAGCTAATAATGTATCTAAGAATATCTTTCTCACATCAGATCAATTTTAATCTAGCAAGTACAAGTAACTGTCAATTTGACAAGTAAACCATGACAATTCATGTTGCATAAAATGACAGTCTACTAACCCCTTCTTCTTAGTTAAACAAAAACTCAGGCAGTACAGCTGAAATTCAAATATTAAAAATGATTATTTGACCGAGTGTATACTAGAACCTGTATATTCTACCAAAATCAGAGCAAAGCAAATTCATAGAAGTCATATATCAACCTAACAGTTTACCTGCAACTGTTATATACCTTACAGTCACTTCATGGAATTTTCTTCTGAGCAAAACTGTTTTTATTTAATCTGAGGCTTTTAGGCTTTTTCTAACACAGAGAAAATAGAAAGCTGGAGTTACAAGTACAGTTTTTCCTCATGCTAAATTGGAGAGGGGGAAATACTGCCTTCTGCTTGTACACCTTGCATATTAAAATATATAATAAATAACCAAACAGTGAAATTAGCATGATGACCATAGTGATATGGAGATAAACCATTATGACCATGGTTTCCAAGAGATGAGAGACAGGAAACTGAGGGAAGTGTAATGGGAAGCTAATAGCCATGTATTACTAACTCAGCCTCTCCTGCACTGTGGGTCTTACCAGGTGGCAAACCAGTCATCCCAAGGCTCTGTCATCACAAAGAAAGGGAAAGTGAGCTCACTCTAGACTCATTATACTGTCAAAGCTTAGAACATTCCATGTCAACAGCACTACTGCAGTGTACAAAGCTGTCTACAGATTGGTCAAACAATTCCAGGCTCATTTTTTTGTTAAGCTAGATATGATCCAGTTATTTTCCTCAAATTTGGAAAGAATTCCAATCATTTTCCAAGCTATATTTGGGCCCTAGAATTAAAATGTATCCACCCATTTTACAGACAACAACAAAAGTACTTTGTTGGCTGGACTTTGGGTTGGACTCCCCATCCCAGAGCTTTTCATTAAAACTGCCCTTCAAGATTTCCCCCTATTTTACCTAAACACTCTCTTAAAAACCTGCCTCTAAGGGGTGAGAGGCAAAACAATTTTCTCACACAAGAGTGCTGGGGCCAAAGATGCTCGCAAAGAATGACTTTATTTAAAGAGGCATGATACACATTCTTGAGGTACACTTCTAAACAGGTTCTAAGCTATGAAGTTTCTCTAAGTCAAAGGTTAACTATTACCGAACCTTCAAACCTCATTTTCTCAACCAGACCTCCCCCTTTTTGTTTGCTTTCACACACTCTAAGAATAACATTCCTGTAAGTTTTTTTAAAAAATAATAACCTGTTGTTATTTAATAGGAGATGAGACTTGAAACATCTGCACCAAATATTATTTTACCTGAGTTGTCCCAGACACAGAAGGAAATGTTGCTTCAGGTATTTTGATTCTTGTTGCCAATTCTGTAGACCCTTGAGAATCCTCACTTTTAACTTGCTCTGGGGACATCCCATCATTGCTGCTATCTTCTTCAAAAGCAAAGGCATCTGAAGATTTAGTGAAGTTTCCCTGGGTACCTAGGAAGTTAGATGAACTCAGTAATAAGTTATAATGACTTTGTTGTGAATGGCAATGGGCAGTGAATGAATGTGCAAGAAAAAAAATTGCAAGTGGGAAATGTTCGTACTTGGTATTACAGTATACATAGCATCATATACTGGGGGGGGGGATGTTTCATTTTAATATTAAAATGAGGACCACAAAACTGTGAATAATAAAGAACTTGAGTTTATGGGAACTGATTCAATTCAAAGCCTTTATTGTCATTGTACATCATGTACACAACAAAATTGGTTTAGCCTCTACTGGTGCAGTCCATACAAGATTGCAAGACAACGTGAATAATATAAAGAATAATCCTTATACAAGTAGTTAGGGGGAAAAAACTAGTCATACATTTCCATATGTATGTCATATTCTGTGCAACATGTATATTACTCTGGTGTATGATCTTATATCATGGTATATACATATTACACACTACGCTAGCACCAGTGAAATTCATCATATTAATCTATTTGTGGTGCTATATTCTGCTTAGTAGTCTGACAGTCTATGGGTAAAAGCTGTTTTTAAACCTGTTTGTCCAGCTGGCTATACTTCTGTGTCTTCTGCCCGATGGTAAAAGTGAAAAGAGACACTGGCCAGGTGTGAATCATCCCTAAGTATCTTCCTTACTCTGCTGAAACAGCAAGACTGGCAATGTCATCCAGTGGTGTTAGGGGGTAACCAATGGTTTCTTGTGCTGAATTAATCACTCTCTGTAGCGCCGTCCTGTCTGCAGTTGTTAAAATAGTATACCATACTGTTATATGGTATGTGAGGACACTTTCTATCATGGACCGATAAAAAGAAATCATCAGCCATTGTTCCACCTGATTTTTCCGCAGGCCTCTAAAGAAATGAATTCTCTGTTGAGCCTTACTAACCACCAGGAACGTGTTGTTTTTCCAGGTGAGGTCTTGGCTAATGAGCACTCCCAAGAATTTATAAGAGGAAATGCTCTCCACACACACACCCCTCCCGACATACAGTGGGGCAGGTTCCTCTCTTTGCTTCTGGAAATCCAGCACCATCTCCTTGCTAGTGTTTAGATGTAGGTTGTTTTTTGAACACCATGTGGATAGCTTCTGGACTTCTTCCCTGTATGCTGATTTATCCCCTCCAGTTATAAGACTCAGCACCGTCGTGCCATCTGCAAACTTTATTATGACGTTGGATGGATCAGAGGATATGCAGTCATGTGTATACAGCGAGTACAACTGAGCACACAGCTCACGGGGGGATGTGAGGGATTAGTTTCCAAAGCCTTTGGTTGTCATTTGCCTTCCGTACAGCATTTCTTGTTTTGTTCTTCCACTGATGTCAATGTACCTCTTGGCAGATCTGACTGAGTCAATTTTTTTGCAAGGCTCCATATGACTTCCCAAGTAAGCTGGCCTTCTTCTTTAGAGAACTGATAATGGAAGAAGTAGCTACAGTTGTCTCCTGTGACTTGCACAGGCCTTTCTGCTATATGCAATCCTTGTGATCTCAGTGAAGGGGCTTCTTGATGACACAGCTAGACATGAGTACTGTGCAGTTGCTTCACTGATGAAAGGCCCATCCAGCAAGATCACAAAAGAGCCATTGCACAGCTCACAGAAAACTCTAGTGGCCAATGTGGTACAAAACTATGATGATTTGCACCAGCACAATCAAGAGGATACTCTCCCAACATTGTGAAAGAGAATGCAGAGAAATTAGTATGAGTCATATAATGCAACTGAGATATTACTACCATCATCAGCTGAGTAAATCACTGCAAAGAAGTCTGTTGCCATAGGAAATCCATATGAAGCCTCAGAACCAGTCTGATCCACCAAACTAGGAAGTACACTGCCCAGATGATCTACTTGTATCCTTAAAAAAATTGCCATAGATGTAAATTTGATATTTGTAACAAATAGGGCCATGGTGGCGCAGTGGTTAGAATGTAATACTGCAGGCTACTTCTGCTGACTGCCGGCTGCCTGCAGTTCGGCAGTTCGATTCTCACTGGCTCAAGGTTGACTCAGCCTTCCATCCTTCCAAGGTCGGTAAAATGAGGACCCAGATTGTTGGCAGTAATATGCTGACTCTGTAAAACCACTTAGAGAGGGCTGCAAAGCACTGGGAAGCAGTATATAAGTCTAAGTGCTATTGCTATATAAATTTTAAATACAGCATGTATTACAAGAATGTGTTCAAAACGACCATCCATTTTGCACACATGTCACATAACAAAAAACAAGATCAAAATTACATATAGGATGATTATGCATGTACCATATCCTGATCTCTATTTAGCAATCATCGACAAGCAAAGCTGCAATAGCAAAGGCTTATCTAACTGTAGACCAGTAATAAAACAAATCAAAATAAGATATAAATAATCAATTCCCCCCCTGCCCCCCAAATAAATTTCAAGAACCTCAAAATAAAGCAATGGTCAATCCATGATGGTGTTCAGTTGATGAAAACCATCACTGTAAATTGATAAAATAGAGATTGAGCTTCATAATTGCAAGAGAATACTTTATTTATTTCAGAAAAATACTCTGATCTGGCTGTAAAACTCAGTGTATATTTCATCATCACAGATAAAATTATGCTGAATACACAAGCTATAAACTTAGACTGCTGGAATTTCTATCAAGTGTTTTTTTTTTTTCTTTTAGCAGACCTTGTATGTATATATTCAAGATATTTCTTAAAGCAATAAGGGTCATTATTTTCTATTCTGGGTTTTGGAAATATATTTTCGATTTTAATGGAGGTATTATAATGTACAATTTGTACACAATTTGTTTCCATGTAAGTTGCTAAACCACTCCCATCAGTTCCTGTACAATTTTTCTAGGGCAAAAGTATGAAATCTCATACTGGATCAGCACTGCAAAAATGGTGTGTCTAGGACAAAATCTAAATCTGATTTCATTTAATTTATATTTAACCTTAACTGCAATAAAATACAATTATTCTGTGATCATGTCATCAATTTCTTCTTCTGTAGGAGAAGAGATTGGACAGACATTTACCTGGAATGGTATATGGTCTCCTGCATTAGCAGGGAGTTGGATTAGAAGACTTCCAAGAACTCTTCTGTTATTCTGTACTGAAAATTACAATATGGAATGGAAAGATATGGAATAAGAGCCAAAGTGGCGCAGTGGTTAGAGTACAGTACTGCAGCTACCTCAGCTGACTGCTAGTTCATCAGATCAGCGGATCAAATCTCACCGGCTCAAGGTTGACTCAGCCTTCCATCCTTCCGAGGTGGGTAAAATGAGGACCCAGATTGTTAAGGGGCAATATGCTATTCAGTATACTGTCTTTGGTGTAAGCCGCCCAGAGTCCTCGGAGAGTGGGCGGCATAAAAATATGACTAATAAAATAAATAAAATAAAAATAAATATGGAATGGAATGGAAAGATAACAGATAACAGTGGACAGACAGGATCTGCAATATCATCTGAGTACCTCTGGAATAGCTGTGGATTGTCACTGAAGGTGAGTCAAGGCAGGACTTCGCCACGTGTTCAACACAAATTGGGTTCAACATAATGGACTTTTGGAAGTTTCTGCCAATTGTACACTAATCCAAGCAGCCTCATTAGATTCAGATCCTTATTTTTATTCCAGAATTTCACTGCTATCTATTCTTTCAGGACAAATTATTCCCCTCCTATCTTAAAAATGGATAGAACTGCTGGCAAAACATAGTTCATCCTGGGAGAGAAAAAATATTCAAGAAGTCCCCAAGGCTGTGTTGCCCAATCTCTGCTCAACAAACATCAAAAATCTAAAATGTCACAGTTTCCTTAGAGGAACACAATGAGGACCCTTTTTTTGCGTTGTCGGTTTTGCTTCCTCAAGACTCAGTATGACTCCTGCCAGATGCTGCTTCTCTGCCACTCAGCAGACTGGAGGAGTTCTGGAAAGTGTTCCCGTGCAATATCCCGTCATCTAGCAGGCAAAAGCGCTTGACCCTTGGCTTCTACTGATAAGTAAAGTGCTGGGAAAGACAGGCTCTATCACAAAGCCCCCGAAAGGCTGGAAGACAGTGAAAGAAAAGAAGATTCCTTCTATGCCCTGTAATCTTTGCAGGGCCGAGTCTGGCTTTGATCAAGTGTCTTCCTGCTTAGCTAGCAAAGAGATATGTTGGATGCAGAAGGGACATGCCAATAGGGAATAAACCATTCAGGAATACTTAAATTCTGGTTGCTCATCAACATACATCCATGCTCCTTCAGAGGAATCACTCCAAAGGCAACCCCAAAGGAGTTTTTCCATTATAGTGGAATGTGCCTTCCTCCTCTGATGTGCTGGGTACAAAAATGTACCTGAACCATTACCTATGAAAACCTGAGCAGGTACCTATTAAAATTACCTTTGATGGCCTCTTTCACAGCTGAGTCAATGGGAATGATATTCTTCTCCACCAGCTCCAGAGGTCCTGGTCTAAGAGCAATTTTTTCATTCAGATTGTCTGCAAGACGGGCTCGTTTTAGTTTCATCTGACTAGCTTGAACAGATTCTTCTGCAGTTGAATCTGTCAAGTAAGTGGTAAAAATGATCAAGTCTTGTACCAAATTCTCTTTTCCTGCTTAGAAAAAAGCTCAACAAGCACAGCATGTTATATTTCATGTTAGAACAGTTTCTTTAAAGAGAAAATATGCAGGTCCCTTGGCATGGATGCAATTGTAACAAAAAGCATTTAACCAGAATACACTTGGGTTTCACATTGTAATAGAGTAGAGTAGAGTAGAGTAGAGTAGAGTAGAGTAGAGTAGAGTAGAGTAGAGTAGAGAGTAGAGTAGAGTAGAATAGAATAGAATAGAATAGAATAGAATAGAATAGAATAGAATAGAATAGAATTCAATTCTTTATTGGCCAAGTGTGATTGGACACAAGGAATTTGTCTCCAGTGCATAAGCTCTCAGTGTCCATACAAGCAATAAGTGATAAATCATGATCATAGTCATTGTAAAAATACATTCATCATAAATCATAAGATACAACACTTAGCGATAGTCATAGGATACTAAATAAGCAATAAACATAAATCATACTACGATACTAAGTAAACAATATAAATTGTAAGATACAAGCAACAAAGTTATAGTTATAAGAAGATAAGAAGATAGATAATAGGAAAGATGAGAAGAATAATTCTTCTATTGTGCATATTATATTATTATATTATTCATTCTATTATTATTCTCATCTTTCCTATTACCTATCTTCTTATCTTCTTATAACTATAACTTTGTAGAATATATATTATATATAATATAATGCAATGCAGTGCAGTGCAGTGCTGCGCTGCGTTATTTTACATTACATTACGTTACGTTATGTTATGTTATAATCATAAAGTGGTGTGTTTGTAGCTTAGTGTGATATGTCAATAAGGTCAGTCAGTAAATCATCACCTATTTTTGGAAAGGAAATCATGATTTCAAAATACCCTGTTTTCCCCAAAATAAGACATTCCCTGATAATAAGCCCAATCGGGCTTTTGAGCCCAGGGCAATAAGGCCAAGTGCTTATTTCAGGGTTCAAAAAAATATAAGACAGGGTCTTATTTTCAGGGAAACACAGTATGGCTAGTGATTGGCTCATTGATTGTTACTACCTATTAGAAATATTCACACTATCATAAAGATTTATTCAACTGCATGGTTTATTTGCTTTATTACTGGCTTGTTCAGCAAAGCATACTAAAATAAACTCTAGCAAGCATGACAAGAAAGCATAGCCAACTAGTCATATGTAGTAAAAATAATTAGATTGACGTTAGATAGGTATCTAACATCACAGAATCACAGAACGTAACAGTTGGAAAGGACTTTCTTACAGGGTTGGTTTAATGTACAAAAAATATTACCTGTAGTGTATTTGGTTTTCAACTAATATTCTTTTCCATTCATATGAACATTTCCCACAACACTGCCTCTATCTCAGTAGACTAGGAATTGTTACGAGTGAGTTCTTAGTGTAAATAGACTAGAGTTAATGGGAATTATGTAAATCATATCTGGATAAAATCATTTATATGCTCCCATTTTTTAAAAAACCACATCTCTTAAGCTAAAAGAGAAATGCAAAACTTTTGGACTAGTGGATAAATGGTACTATCCGTAGATGGAATGGCACATAGTTGGAGGGAGTATTAATTTACTTATTAAATGGATTTTTTTTTTTTTTACAATAGAGAACAACTCAGCCAGTCTTACCTTGAACAATGTGCATATCAAGCAGTTCAGAATGCTCAGGTCTGTTTCGGATCTTGTGCTTAAAATAATCTTCAGTCTGTAGAACATAAGAGCAGAGATTGTTACCTCACTAGCTTAATTTAAGAGCCACAGTGGTGCAGTGTTTAGAATGCAGTACTGCAGGTTACTTCTGCTGACTGCCGGCTGACTGCAGTTCGGCAGTTTGAATCTCACCAGGCTCAAGTTTGATTAAGCCTTCCATCCTTCTGAGGTCAGTAAAATGAGGACCAAGAATGTTGGGGGCAATATGCTGACTCGGTAAACCACTTAGAGAGGGCTGTAAAGTATTGTGAAGCGGTATATAAGTCTAAGTGCTATTGCTATTAACTTAAGATATTAGGTATTTTATTATAATGAGGAAACTGTACTATTTGAGTAGACACTCTCTATTTTGCTCTAGACTTAAAAAATGATCTGCTTACAACAATTTCTAATCTGGATACCAAACTTTTAGTTAGATTTGGATCTGTTAAAGTCTCCATTAATATCTCTTAGAACACAAATTACTGATAGCTGACACAATGGACTGGTGAATGAAACAGCAATTTAGAACATGTATGAAATTCAAAGCAGTTCAGTTTTTGTAACATAGACTGCAACTGCCTACAACATATACTTGGACTAAAGCAAATTCACTGACTTCATTTAAATAAATTTCATGTGCTGTTTTTTGTCCATGTAACCACTGTTGCATTTGTTTAAATTAATGTAATTAAACTAATGTTGTCTCTGGAGATTCTCAGTCGTCCAAACTAATGTTGTTTCAGGTCATGTGTGAAAAAAGGTTCAGACAGACCTCCCAGCAACCATCATTCTCTAGCTACCTAAGAAATATACTACTGTAAATTTCTTACTCAGTACTTTCAATTAAGAACCTAGTACTTTCAATAAAGGTTGAGAATGTACGGTATTTGTGAGTCTATTTTGGCTTTCCAAATGGATCCAGTTTAGGTCCTTTGACTCATATAATCCTTTTTTCCTTCTAGGCAATCAGCCAGTAGAAGCTTTTGAAGAGACAGTGAGATATTAACCTATGTCTGAAAGTACACAACACTTCAAAGATACTTCAGACTGCTTGAAGTTTCCCAAGCACATTAATTTTTCACAATGGGCTACAGATCCTTCTTTACATTAGCCATGACTTTTTGCAAGACACTCATGTAAAATAATGTAATCTCCCCCATCATCTTCTTGGCATCATTTTGAAACTAGTGGGTATATTTCTCCAGAACTGGTAGAATGGAGCCAATCATTTGGTTCTCCTGTCTGCATGAGACCCAGTCATCCTACTGTTCCATGAACAGAGAAATAACACATATGTTGTGTTATGGTGGCTATAAGTACAAAGAGTTCTAGTGCTCAGAATGTACTATGGCAGGCTAACTCTAGAGATTGATCTGACTGGCTCAAGGTTGATTCAGCCTTCCAATCTTCTGAGGTAAAATGAAGACCCAGATTGTTGGGGAAAACATGCTGACATTGTAAACCACCCAGAGAGTGCTGTAAAACACTCTGGGGCAGTATGTATTACTATTCCTATTGCTAATTCCTAAGCATTTCAAACCACTGGACATTTCTAGGATCTTACAAAACATCTCTATGCTATTGGCCACAACCTAGCATTATTTATGGTGGTCAAGGACTTTCCAGCCATTCTGTCATGTTCCATAAATTAGAAATATAGGACATTGAACCTACAGTCACAAACAAACAAAGTTTTTTTTTCCAGTGGGATTATAGTTCTTCTTATGCATTTTTTTAAAAAAAAGGCCTAGTTGGTCTAGATCTCTTAAAAACAGCCTGTTCCATGCAGACAAAGACCTCCATATTATCATATTATATCTGTAAAGAGAAATGGAATCTTGTCTGAACAAAAGAATTGTTTCTATCAGGTATTTCGCAAACAGTATGGAGTGAACATCGTTCCGTTGATATTGTTGCAGGACAGGTGATACTTTGGTCTTTGAAAAGAGGAGAACCTACCCCAGTTGGGAGTGGGAGGACAAGTTGAATCACCAGTGAACACAGGAAATCCTTAATCCAATGTACATAAGATAAACTTTTCCCCCCAAATAATTTATTTGCAAGTGGGCAGTGAGCAAAATTATTAAAATTCCAACCCTGCTGCAGTATTGGTGTTTCTATTATCCAAGCCTGTGAACAGCTACCAAACAAGTCAATCTGTTTTCATAATAGGAATCTGGCTTAACCAATGAGCCTATCTGTAGTAAGATAAATATGAGAATATATTGCAATTTTTTTGGCTTTGGCTCTTCCATCTTGGCTTTTCCACCAGCTTTGATTTACAATGCCTAATCTCACTTCAAGGGCTGTTGACAACAAGACACAGAGCACTGGTGGTCACCAGCTCAAAGGAACCTTACATTGTTATAAGAACTGAAGAGCAATGTGGTACATGGCAAGTAAAAGCTTTCAAGCTTTCCTTCTGGGATTTCCCCATAACCCTTTGGTTCGCATGATCAAGTGTAGCTAACTTGAATACCCTTTCCATCTTACAGAGTTCAAATATTCATTTTCCTATGGCTATGTGCCAGTGCCTAAGCTGAACATTCCATCAATGTGTTCAGCACAGTTGCCTTCATTGAGATATGTCATTAAGCTTTTTTTTTTTCCCAGCCACAGCTTCGCAGAGGGATTTTCTAAGTCCTAAAAAGATTGTTATCCAGAGTGATGCCATCACTATCTACCCACTCAAATGCCTCCCCAATGTTACCTTGGTTCTCTCCAAGCTCTTCTTTTGCTCATGGAAGGGAGAAGGGCTTTTCAGTGCTGCAAACAGAAACAGACAGAAGCCCAGTGAGTCCAACATGCATAGAGCATACATTCAGCTTCACATTCTTCATAATAATAACAATAATAATCACAACAGTAGCACTAACATCTGCAATCTTATAGAAATCACTCGTCTTTATCATAGATCGGGTGGTGGCATGAAAAATGGTGGAGGGTGGAGCTGAGCAAAGAGACAGATGTCATCTAAGCAGGAGATCCTCTTGTGGTGGATATTTTGGTGTGAGGGAGGCTAACACAAAAGCAGAGCTTATCCAGGATCTGGGCATTTTCTCTGAAACAGTCTAAGAGATGCATTCATAATCTTGCACATTAATTCTAAATACTGTTACGTGAGGTCATGCTTCTCAGATTGCGGTGGAGAATTCCGCATGATCAGTCAGAGAAGATCTAGCTGTAAACTGGACTGCTAATGAATGTCTCCCTTTAGCAACACTTGAGCTATATTTCATCACCTGGCATCAGCACTTAAGAAATCAATAAAAGGAAAAATGTGTTCTCCCCCCATTTTATTTTATCTTTTTTCAATTTAGAGGGCTGCTAGTTATCCATTAAATTCCAATTTTCCCAGTTGTGTTTCTTTTACGAACCATTTTAGAATGCTTATTTTAGCAGGCAGCTTAAAAACCATTTTAAGAAGCCAAAAACAAAATATATCGGAAAAAAATGCCAAATTATTATAATGGAGGGGGGGTTGTATCTTGCATAGCCTCTTGGGACCATCAAGTTGCCCAGCCAGAATCAATGGAAAAAGGCAGATTTGGGCAATGTTCTTTTGAAAACATTTTGTGTGCCAGCAGTGAACAGCAACTACATATTTATTCAGGAGAACAGACAGGGAAATTGTAGTGTGTGAGGCAGAAACTGCTTCCTCAATTTTCCCAGTATTATGTATCCAATCATTTTGTTTTCTCTGCAGGTCCTTCACATGGAATACAATTCCGATTATGCTATAATGCAGGTTTTTTCAACTCTGGCAACTTTAAAATGTATGGATTTCAATTCCCCCTGTTGACTAGGAAATTCTGGGCATTGAAGTCCACACATCTTAAGTTGCTGAGGTTGAAAAACACTGCTATAGTATGAAAAAATACTAAAGCTACTGTAAGTCACTTGAAATGCTGGAATAAACAGAAAAGTGGAGTATAAATTCAAGAATATATTTTGAAAATAAATTAATTGCTGGCAAGGGGCACTTCAGAAATATCTGTTTTTCCATCTCCCATCTCTTCTGATTTTTCATAACATAAAATGTTTTGCTTGCTTCTGATTTTTCCCCCCTCTACTCTTGCTTGAAACTCTTCTTGCATGTCCTGTAGCCTAGGAAAAATGAGCAGGGGTGAAATTGACCCGAGTTAACAGGCAACAGGCCAGCTCTAATTGTCTGTTTGCTTCCAAACAGGCTACAGTAAAAACAAAAAGTTCCCTTGTGTTTTGGGGTTTGTGTGTGTGTTTTCTTCATAGTTTATCTTTTTTTTTATTTGCAAAGAGCTCTGGGACAATTAAGATCCCATTTCACTTAACCAGGCAGACAAGCCAGCATGCAAGAGTTTCGGTTTGTTGTATTTTTTACCCCCCTTAGTCCTTGTTTGTGCTGGGAAAGGAACTCTACTGAAATGGACGTTCACACAAACAGTGAGATAGAGAGAGAGGCCTTGTGCAACTGCAAGTGCCTGAATATAAGGTTTAATCAGTAGGGAGCTCATTTTATGCTGGATCTGACACTTATCCTTAATCTAGTAATCTCACTGGAGATAGAGAAAATGAGAAGGAAAAGAGAGAGAGAGAGATGGAGATAGAAATATTTCCCCATTTTCATTTTTTTTTAAAAAAAATGAAAAAATAGAAGGCAGGGATCTTCTTTTGCAAAATCTTAAACCTGACAAACTGTGCTGACTAAAAGCTAAATAAATACTGATCAAGTGGTCCAATCTGGCTCTTTGAAACATCAGTGAATTTTTCATAAGGAAATATTTCTTCCCCATAAACTTGTTTTTGGAACTGTTTTTCATCAAGTGGGAGGCTGCCCCTGTATTTTAAGAGGCTTAGAGAAGGTCCATTGGCACTAAGTCTTGACTGACTTCAATCTAATTCTTCGGGCCATTTCTAAGCCTTGCTATTCATTTCTGTTTATTATAGGTTGAAGAGAAGGGTTAAAAAGTAAAACTTCTTACAGTCCAAAGCTATACAAAATCCCCTAGAGGTTTATTTCATTAATTGAAGTGCGGCCCAGGATCCAAAAAGAAAGTTTGCAGGCAAAATTCAGGTCCCTGTTTTAGTAAGTGTCAAATTATTGTTTGCTTTCTTTGTACAATTTGATAAGGTGTTCAGTCAAGCTGTGCAATGAGAAAAATCAAAGACGATGCTTTTTTAATTTCACAAGCCTTTTTTTTCTTACTTTTGTTCACTATAAAAAATAAATTAAGAGAGTTAAAAACTTCTCTTAATTAATGATTTATCCAATCTTCACGTGCCAGTTATGGCTTCTCTGCTTCAAATGACATTTGTTGTCAGAGAAGTGAGTCGTTCTGCATCAATGTATTGGAAAAGCTAATTTATTATTTATCTCCTAGATTTAAGAGGACCCAGGAAATATATGCATCCAATATACACTCAAAACACAAACAGCAACTCCACAAAAACTAAACAAAGAAGAAAAAGAGTGAAATAAAAAGTAGCATAGAACATCTTCTAATGCCACAGTTAGCAGTTGAAGAAAGATGTGTGAGAAAAGGCAGAATAAGTTGTAAAAATGATCCGTGCCAACTTCACTGATCTAAAACCACCTTCCTCCTTTGAGATGTTTTAGAAGGAATATGCCTATCCAGACATGTGATCTGAACTAAGGTGGTGATGAAAATGCTTTGAAGAATAGAATTTAGGCAAATACATTTTTGAAAATATACTCTATCAATGAATCAAATAACAACACTAATTAAATCGTTTTCTTCAGTTATGAGTTTTGCCTGTGTAACATGTTGCAAGGAATATAGAAAGAAAAGTCACAGAGAAAAACACAGTGTTTATATAAAGTAAATACTGACAGAAAATGAGGAAGAAGGCTGAATATTATGGCTTATACTTCTGCTCTTCCTCTATGTGGGTTTTCCAGGAATCTCTTGTCCAAATTCATAGACTTAGCATCCATCTTATTGCCTCAGCAGCTATTTCCAACCATTTTTGGTCACCATTTCCCTGCCTATTCTATAGAAATCATCACTGAATGAAGAAGCAAATAATCAGATTAAAAGGCAATTGACATCACTTGCCATAATAAATGACTACTATTTAAAATGGACTACTGTAAAGGCTGTTTCAGATTTTTCCCGATCTACTTTTTTTTTTTTTTTTTGCAGAAAAAACAAACTGGCCAAAGACATGTGGCATAAATCCATTTATCTTGTATCTGGCTAGCTGAATCTAACAAAACTCATGCCTTAGTTCATGGCTGCACTCCTATCTGCTTTTATAAAACCTGGGTGAATAAATCTATTGCTCTTCAGTGGATGTGAAGGATACTGTCAAGCTCTGTCTTCTAGAAGAAGATACATTTTGGATTATGAAGGACAGGGAGATCAAGGTTTATCCCTCAGTATGGTGAACATTTGGGAGGTGGTACAGATCTGTTTGCCTGAGTGCATAACCTACAACTATTATTCTTGCTTCTAGTTCCCCGTCACTTTCTTCCTTCTTCTCTTTGTGACCAAAAATGCCTTTCGGGAGGTAAACTGGAACTTTTATGGGGTGTCAAAGCATCCTTTGACAGTTGGCAAACACCAATGACACCTCATTTTTGTAGAACACGCCAGCTTGGCCTGATAGCGGGATAGGAATAAAACTGTCAAGAACTTTGGGCCACGCATTGCATAAACAGTCCGTGAGGATCCACTCAGAAGTGATTACATGCTGTACCTGTCCTACAGAGGCTGAAATGCCCTATGAAACTGCCAAGCTGCTGCATGCGCCATTTGCAGGGAAGTGACAGATGATCCATGCCAAATACATAGAACCGTTGGCAAGTTGTGACTCAAGAAGAAAGCAGTAGCAGAGCTAACAACCACATGCTAAACCCAACGGATTTTGCAGAAATGGTGTGTGTGGCTAAGAGTTAGGGTGATCCAGCAGATAGAGTGTTTGGGCTGGGAGACCTGGATTCAGATCCTAGTTTGACCATGGACTCACTGGGTGGCCTTGGGCAAGGTGTTATTTCTCTCAGTCTCAGTTTCCCCATCTGCAAAAAATTGGAATAATCATGACCTAATGACCTACCTTAGAGGGGTTGTTTTGCAAGGCATCCCAAACCTGGCAACAAATTAATACAATCTAGTCTACCGCACATATAACCCCCCCATGGACCCAGTGCTCTTTAGAATTCGTAGAAAAGTACAAGTTAAAGTTTTATACCTTATTTTAATTATTATGGCAGCAATAATTGGTTGCCAATTGCTCTTGGCAATTAAAAAAAAATAATCCCAAATATAATTTCCAGGGAAACTCCTTCTACCTGCTTATCACTTCAGCAGAAAATAGGAGTACCACTCCTCTCAGGATGAGGAATAGAGAAAAAAATATATTTCTGCAGGATCCAATATCGATCGGTCACTGGGATCAGAGGTTTTATCTTCTGAGCTTTCGGAATCATCTGGAGCCCATCCTCAGGGAGTTTCTTTGTGTGCTCTAGGTTTTTCTGTGCATTGATGGCTGACTATTGGGTTGTTGATAGCCAGCCATCAACCCCCCAATATACATCTAAGAAGCTACACAACAGCCACTATTCAAATACTACACATAGAACAGCCCAAAGCAAAACAGAGATGTTCCCTGAGGATGGGATCCAGCATTTGGAAGGCAAAACCTCTGGTCCCAGTGACGGATTCAGATTGAATCCTGCAACATTATTCTGGGACACGTATCTTCCAGTGGTGGGTTGCTACCAGTTCGCCTGGAATCGGGCGAACCAGTAGTGGTGGCAGGAGGCTCCACCCACCTGCCCAGACACTTCTGCGCATGTGCCGAAGTGTCGCACACTCATGAGTGAACCGGTAGCAAACTAAATTGAAACCCACTACTGGTATATTCACCTTCTATGGGAAACATCTTTCTATACAGTACTCCTTTTTGAACCCTCCCCTGTGAAAAATTTGATTCCTCCAAGGGAACTGCATAGCTCTAGACTGGAGATGCTAAAGCAATTCACCTGTAGAGGACATTCCCTGCTCTGAATCAGTAATTATCCTAATGAAATACTCCAGGGACCGGGCTGGGAGAGCAGGGGAACAGTGGAGGGGACAGGGCAGACCTCAACCAAGTCTGCCTGGATACAGTATAGGTAGGGAGAACAAAACAAAGTACTTACGTGGCATGATGCCTTGGCTGGCAAGCTGCTCTCGGCTTCTTCGCTGCTGTAACCGCAACTGTAAAACTAGGAGAGAGTGCACCTTTCAGAAGTGAACGCAAAGTTCTGCCCAAATAACCGCAAACCTTTCATTTGTTCAGATTTTCCACTCTACAACTACAAAGGAAGAGTTCTGGACTTGATCACACGCAAGAAAGAATCTCCCTCATTCCAACAGCTTCGTCCTATTACTGAAATGCGTTTTTTTTTTCATATTCTCTAAAACTAAGCCAATTAACCTGAGGTTTGGTCAAAGGATCCTTTCCCCACCTTCTCCCCCTTTCACTCCCATATGCAAAGGTTGACAATTTATAACACAGCAGCAAATTTGGCTAGGCAGACAAAAATATTGAGCTTTTGTTATTATGCCATTTTAATAAATTTATAATGCTTCCGTTTTGATTCATAGAGCTCCCTTTCATGTTAGGTAGGGATGAAAACAACAAAATATTTTCACGAGTTTACAAAAGAAAAGTATGACAGCTGCAAAATTAAATTATTTCACATATGGAATATGTGGCCAAACAGATACTTGGTGTTCTGTTGGCCTACAAGAAGAAGCAGAAAATACAGAAAAGGAATGGGATCACTTTGATCTGTAAGATAAGAACATGAAGAATGACAAGAGAATGCAAGCAATAGCTATTCTTTCTCTGACAGCGTGAATGGGATTTACTAGACTGAAATTCTAACTAGATCAAATTAAATTGAGAGATAAATTAATGTGATGTGCATGTATCTTATTTAGAAATCAGTAAGTTTTATTCCCTGGTAAGTGAGATTGCAGCCTTAAACTACTACTGAAGGATGTTATGAAAAGGAGTCTTCTTCTTCTTCTTTGCATTGTTTTGTTTTTTGGGGCTTTTGAAGAAAAATAATGGATGTAGCTAAAACTGAGAGGGAGTCTAGGAAGGTATGGGCAATCTTACAGAGAAGGCCTGCCTTTGACTATAAATAATTGAATAATCTTGAAACTTCTGACATTTATTAAGTCCAACTTGTTCTTCCTTTCATTTGTGAATAAAGTCCACTTATAAAACCTGCAAACACCTTCCTTCCTTCCTTCCTTCCTTCCTTCCTTCCTTCCTTCCTTCCTTCCTTCCTTCCTTTCTCTTCCACTCATGATGGATAACCAGGTACATCTGACATAACATAATCTTATCTTGAAGGTCAAAAGGTGAACACCATCACTTTAGCTTACATTGTCTTTCCAACAACCATTTAATAATGATCAAGGTTCAAATTCCAAGTCACTAGATTTGTTTCCAAATTGAAAATCAAGTTCAATGGCATTTTGGACTTATGACATTTTAAGAATTAGGAGAAATGAATGCTGCAGACCAGAGAGAATGTTAAGTGAAGAAATCATATTTTTTCTGCTACAGGAAGATGTGATACCTTCAGCCGTTTGTCAAAGAAGCAAGTCAAGAATCAATTTACATATTACAAATATTATGCAGAAATCTTTCAAAATTGCTCAACATACTGATGGGTCTGTACTGATTTTCAATCCAAAACATAGTTGCCAGGCGAGTAAGCCTGGCAAAGGGCAGTAGGAGAACATCCACAAAACTTCAAGAGAAGATGAACCAACAATCAAGACTAGGAAATGAATCTATATGAAGACTTTCAAACATCTTATATTCTTTCCATCCTGTTGATGAAGAAATCAGCCGTTTTTGGAAAGTTCTTATCCAAAACTCAGTAGAATAAAATCTTGCCAATTTGTTTTGACCAAATACAATTTAGTCAAGTAAAAGTAAAATATTCAAAGCCTTTGCCACTTCACTTTCTTTTACATTAGATTTTTTTTTCAAATCTCAATTTCTTTCTTTCCTTTTATTCTAGCAAGAAATCTGAGATTACAGTATTGATACTGTATCAGTATTGATAACAGAAAAGTTACTAAACCAAAGTGAGTAGATAAGGGCTGCCATGGTGAATAATAATAATTTTTGAAACAATTTTCTTAGAAACTTGTATAATATATAAGCTTCTCTTTTTCCAAGTAATATTCATTCATGATGTTGTTCTTTCACTTTTGCAAAATCTACTTTTTTTCCTTTAGCCTTTAAGAAAACGACTGCTATATCAACAAATAGACAAAACTCTGTTAAGTATTTTTGCTGTAATTACATACAGGGCTTCTCAAATACTTCAGAAAATCAACATCCATTATTTTGGTGAAGAAATTCATTAATGCTATTGTGGGGGGGGGGAACAGTCTCAATTTTTAAATCATGGCAGAACTGTTAAGGGAATGGAGCTTTGTCTTCTTGACAGGGACTAGTTCTTATTTGGATGGAACTGGGGAAAAAACTCTTGCCATTTCCACAAATAATCTCCAAGAAATGAGATCCGGAGACAAATGGCTTCCTTGGGGCACCAGCACCCTCTTGAAAAGCTCTCATGATTTGTTTATGCCTGCTCAGGCTTACCACTGCAGAGGGATTAAAACATCTGTTTGCATGCTGCTTTAATCAGAACTAGACAAGGAACTTGCCCACTTCAGAGAAGTCATTTCAACAGGAGAACACGGGAGGAAAGAGATAGAGAGCTGGGGGAGGCAGCCGCCAAAAACCTGGACATTCAGAAAGTGTGGCCTGTTTCATCTGGTCTTAGAAACCAGATGCAAAGCTTTGACACCACGAAAACTTAACTGCAGATATGCCAAAATACTTCCCATTTACAGCAAAGCTCAAAAGCGCCAATCCTGGAAAAAAAATATTAGATGAGTTTCTGCAGTCCTATAATGCATCTACATTCTTTAATTTGAATGGTATGAATGCTTGATCTGCATCTTCAGCACATATGTATGGGAGAGAAAGGGAGTCTTCCCCACAGGAGACCAGAAAATTACAACCATGGATATTCAAAATGTCTAACACATTTTTTCCCTCTTTTTTAATAAAAAGAATTGTTATATAGCCATATACAATTACTAATGGTCAAGGCAGAATATTAATTATTTCCTAATTGGGCATATAGTAGTATTTATTTATTTATTCATTCATTATGATGTTCTTGTGATAACAATGGGATTTTTTTTTGGAAAGATTTCTTTATTGTTTGCCTTTCAATTACTGCATAAACAATGACAATGATGTTTCAACTAATTATTAGCTAATAGAATGTTTAAATACTCATATATTATGAAAATCAACACCAAAATGTTCATAAACAAGTCCAAATTGAAGCCACTTTTGTCTTGTGTATATCAGAATAATACAACTGGTATTATGAATATTTTGTTCTTTTTTTAAATAAAAGTGTCTGTGACTGTGAGATAGAATTTACAGTGAATCACTCATCTGCGAAAAAAATGGACTTATTATTTCTGTTCATTTACGAACCATGTGCTATTCTACTAACAAATAAATCTACTGAGAAACTGTGCGGTCATTTCATTTAGTTTTAGAGATACTTTATCTCTACCTTTCAAACGATGGTTTGAATAAAGGCTGAGCTGATTTGCCATCATCGTTGGTTAGTTACAGAACCAGTAGATGAAACATGAAATAGGAAAAACTATTTAGCTAGAACAATGAACAAGATAGGCCATCAATCTATCCTATGTTTACAAGACATAAGCTCTCCATGGAAGTTAACATAACTCTACAAATACACAGATAGAGGCAGTTTTCCAAAAAGCCTATATAGCCTAAGACATCCTTCTGTCTCAGTAAGACAGAAGATGGCACTTCCTCCTTTAAGCACATTCAAAAATTGGCTAGACTGGCAGTTGTACCTTGGAATCTCCTCCCTGTACTTAAAGGCAGCAGAGCAGCCAGGGAAGCATAATCTAAGTCATACAACACACACACACACACACACACACACACACACTTTCAATTCCCAGTCTCAGAAAATTGTTCCATACTCCTGACGGTATATTAATCAACATAGCAGTCCCATTATGGGACTAACGGTAGCACTGTTTGGAAGTTCATTCACAGGTGACATTTATTCCAGTGCAACAAAACTGCAGGACAGGTATTTAATTATTCACAGTTCATTAAAAAGGCACCGATTAATCTTGTTCACCTGATGAATTTCACCCATCTAAGATCTTCCAATACTGTCTGTCAGGGAAATGGAACTCAGTTTCAGAAATTAGCAATAAGACCTAAACTTAGAAAGTGAACACTCCTTTGTGCATTTTCAGAGGGTGATATTCTGAGGGTGATACCAGAAATTGTACCAATCTGGAAAACTTTCTTGTGCCTTCCAAGATACTTTTTCTATACATTATGAACATGCTGCAAATTTATTCTGCATATTCCTCTTTTTTCCCCCCCATTCAGTTTGTTGAGCGAGGTCCAGAATTCTTGAGCTTCCCTTCTTTTGAGATAAGAGCGTTGGGTTACACTAGAGATAGAAAAGCTGAAACTATCTTTGCAGAGGGGAAAAAAAGCACTGCCTGAAGTCCAATTTTGGCATAGTGTTATTATAACCCCCCATCCCAATACATGTTCACTAGTGAAAAAACTGATATGTCCGGAGTCTATCACAAAGAACCTTTTACCGGATTAGAGATTTACTGAATGACTATATCATTAAAATGACAAGTTACTATAATTCTTCAGGTGTTTTCTAAACTGGTCAGGTAGTTATTCATATGTAGACTTGGTGGTAAAGCTGGGTAAAATATGTAATCTATCAAATCTATCAAAAATAATGACGAAATTCAATATATCTTTATCCAATTTATTGGCCGCCCAGGGTAACTCTGGGCGGCTTATGAATATTTCCATTATGTCTGTTTTAAATATTTCCCCATAATGCGGAAGCATCTTTCTCACCACCATTCAAGCAATGAGACTAAATACACCTGCTCATTTTCTGCATTAATAAACAGTTTCAGATATTTGTAAGTTTGCTCTTCTTTGCCTTTTTCTTTAGATCAATTACGACCATGCCACAGACTATAACAAATGCAGGCAGGATAAATCTGAGATTTAAATCAGGAGAAACGTTTGTTTTCTGATGAAGGCATAATAATAGTCCCAGTGAAAAGCGTAATTAAT